TCTACCTGGCCTCTTTTTTCTGTGCATTTTTTTTTTTTTGGTACTCGGGTTCCAACTCCAGTTCTTGTGCTTGTGAGGCAGGCAGCAGAACCACTGAGCTAAATCCCCGGCCCTCTGTGTGCATTTGAAAAAGTAACCGTCTTAGAGGCCCTGGGAGCCAGTTTGGCTACATGAGGAAGCTGGCCTGAGGTACTGACCTGTCCCCCGTCTTCACTCGGGAGCCACTCACTCAGTCCACACGCGGCCCTTGGGCCAGGCACCAGCCAGGCACTGAGCAGCAAGGGGAGTGAGGCTGAGGTCTCTCTCCGAGGAGCCTGAGAAACTCTGTCTTTCCCAGTGCTAGCTCACTCGAGGCAATGCAATGCTGTGCTTGTGAGTTTGGGGATCAGAACTGGTTTTAGTCACTGACCAGCTGGGACCCTGGATGAGTTACACACCTTCTTCAATCCCGAGTTTTCTCATCTGCAACATAGGAGCTGATCTGAGGAGCGAAGCAGGTGCTTTACCACACTGTGACATCCATCACCATTGCTGTTGTTTGACAGACTGGAAAATGAAGTCAAGAAAGGTAAGGAGAGCCGGGGATTTAGCTCAGTGGTGCCACCGCCTGCCACACAAGCACAAGGTCCTGAGTTTGACCCCCAGTACCAAAAACAAAAAAACAAAAAAGGTGAGGGGCCTTCTCATAGTGTGTGCATGTGTGTGTGTGTGTGTGTGTGTGTGTGTGTGTGTGTGTGGTGGGAAAGTCGGGCAATCAACCTCACATCCTGTGTTACCTCCCTGGTGCCACCTGGCACAAACCACAGAAGTTAACACTGGCATTTGCTATTTCCCTCACCCCTCAGCTGGGTACCCCAAAGTTTTCCCACATGAACTTCCTCAGTATACACCAACTCCAGCCCTGAGTTGCCCTCATGGGTCTGAGTGGCTAATTCAACCTATTCTTTAATTAATTATTTAGCAAAGTATTAGGACTAAACACAGGGTCTTGGCACTGGGCTACCTCTCCAGCCTGGCCCCCCTTTTTGTGAGACAAGGTCTTGCTAGGTTGCTTCAACTTGCAGCCCTTCTGCCTCAGCCTCCTAGACTGCTAGGGTCATAGGCATGTCACCTCGCCCGGCTCAAACCAACCTTTCAGAGTTGGCTGTATCCGTAAGGTTCCAGCTATTTCAAAAGACTTCAGTTCCATCCATGGCTACAGGGCCATTTTGCACACTTGGAGATGTGCCCCCCATAGGGCTTGTGCCCCTTGCAAAGGGTGGAGGTACCACACTTTGTAAATACCTTTCTTGGGTAAGGGGCTGAGAGGGCTGGGGCGGCAGGGCAAAAATGAAAGGGGAGTAGGGGTGACTGCACCCGGACAGCCTCTGTGGCAGCTACCTCCAGAGCGCTGTTCCCTCTGTTGTAGTATCCACAGCTCCTTTTTGTAACAGTTCAGAGGAAATAGAGGCGATAAAAACAAGGCCAGCCGCCTCTGCGCAGTCAGTTTGCTCACTAGGGGCCACCAGTGGCCACAGTGAGCCTCCTCACTCTGCTGAATCACTAAGGAAATTTGGGGCCAGCAGGTGCCAGCGTCCTCTGGGACCTACGGAAGGAAAAAGTCCACGTCCCAGGAAAAAAAGGAGAATAAAAGTCCGTACCCCTTCAAGAATTAGGTTCCACTAAACCTTGAGGTTGCAGATGAGGGTGCCAGCCCCTGTTCAGGAGGCTCCCTCTGACCCCTCAGAACCACACAGGCGATCCTCTTGTCTTCGCGGGAGATAACTATACGACCACAGGAGGGCGCTGCCGGGCTTCTCCACAACTCTCAGGCAGACATTGTTTGCATCTTTGCCTCTCCCAGGACCCGCCCGGTTTTGGTTTTGGCGGTGGGGATGGAGCCCAGCAAGTGCTCTACCACTGAGCTTCACCCCGAGCTGGGCACAGCTTTTAAAAAAGAACAGAATCACAAAGATGCCGTGCAAGCTAAAGGAGGCACATTCTTGAAGGGTTGTTTGTTTTTTTTTTTCTTCTTCTGCCTTTTCAAAAAAAGTCAGTGAGCAGCTCCCTCTGTATGTTGGATAAGGAAAATAAAAGAGAGTTTTTGTTGAATACAGCAAGGCTAGACAGGAGCAGGAACCTGATCAAGAAGACTGAATGAGTACAACTTTGCCAAACACAGACAGGGAATCTTGGTACAAAGACAAGGAGAATCTGCTGTTCTCCTGAGTGGGACAGCTGGTGGTGGCTGCAGGAAGATGGGACTCGTCAAGATAGGCAGTCTTGTGGGGCCTATAACACCACAGGAATTATCTAAGAGTCCTCTCTACCCATCAGGACACCTTTCCACCCCACTCCTGTAGCAGGCAGCAGAGAAGATAGGAATACAGAGTTTCATTATTGTGCTGCTGTTATGAACCAGAGTGCAGTTAACCCATCCTGTGTGGATTCTGATGCCACAGTGCAAAGGGGAAAGTTTTACACAGGGGCGCTCTGGGGGCCACTGGGGACAAAAGGGCAGGGCCTCTGGCAGGAAGAGGGCAGCCAAAAGCAAATCTGTGGAGATGCGGGGAGCAGACGTGGGACTGAGTCTGCTCCTTCTCCATCAGCAACGCCTGGCAAGAACTGCGAGAGGAAGAGTCCTTCCTGCCGGAGCTGCTGGCCCGGCCCGGCCAAGTGAGTCCCCAACTTCCTCCCCCACGCAGCTGCCTCTGGCTTCATGATCTGTGCTTAGCAGGTGAGGTCCAGGGCAGGCTCACAGCTGACTGTCAGATGGGGCAGGAATGTAGTCCCAGGAGACCCAAGAGGTTCAGAACACGCCCTCCCATCCCTCTCCACTTGGAATCCCAAGAGACCTTCAGTCCAGGTCAGAGCTAGGTGCAGGACAGCAGTGGCTCCTCCTCTGTGAGCTGGCGGCCTGCACAGTAGCCCAAACCGCTGTCAAGACCGTTCCTCGTGTTAGAGTGCAGTGACACAGCTCAGATCCAAGGTGCGGGCCCAGGATGCTAAGAGTCCGAGACACACAGAGCTTCCACGGCATCGCTCAGACCCTGGTTGACGCCCCCCACGGCCAGCAGGCAGTTCTTAATGACGATGCTGGAGCAGGCACAGCGGGGCGTGGGCATGGCGGGGAGGGCCTCCCACTTGTTTTTCCCTGGATGGAAGGCTTCGGCCGTTTCCAGGACTGTAGGTTGGTTCCCTGAGAGCACCGAGAGAATCAGACCTCACCAAAGGGCCTGGCTACCACGCCCCGCCTTGGGCCGCACAAGCAGGCACTGAGCAACTGCAACGTCTTGGGCTCAGGTGCAACCCCTGCTGCTCTCCTGCCCCCAGCGATGGCTCTTTTCCAGCAGCCACTGTGCCCCTCCTGCCCCCTCCCTGTCTGCTCGTCCCCCTGAGAGTAAGCATTCATGCCCCACCCCTGGTTTTGACCAGAACCTTTTAGAGTACTGCTGTACCCACCCTGTTTTCTACTGCACAAGCTACCCATATGGTCTGGCTCCTGTGGTCTTTCACGTCTGAGTAACATGGGAACGTGTCCACACCTGGACATAAATTCGGGGTCCCTCAAACCCTACTGCCTGTATCTCTGCCCCGCTGACACTGGGTTCCCCCGTTTGAGTCCCTCCTTCAAAACACCAGCCACTTTGAGAGGGGTAATACATCAAATCCCAAATTGGTTAGAAGCATTTATTGCATTAGATGCATTTCTATCCCAAGACAGAGTTGGGTATCTAAGGAAAAGAGGCGGCTCAGAGGAGGATGGGGGATCTGCAGTGTTCTCCAGTCATTCTGCAGACGTGTGCTCAGCAAACCTGGGTGACATGGCTACCGGGATGTCCCTTATTCTCTCTGGACCTCAGTTTCCCAAGTGCAAGAGGACAAAAAGACCCCATCTGGGGCCCGTAAGTGGACAGGCAAAGTCCAGGCTCTGGGGAAGAGAGGGTTTTGAAGTACAGTATTTGGAATAAAGAAGTGGGCAGGTGATGCGGAAAAAGCCAATCTCCTCTGCTGCCATGCAAAGTTCCAGGACCACAAACATTCCAGCCCAGAAGTTTCATCCTTACCAAGTCCCCCGGCTACTATGACCCGTCCACTCAGGGAGCCGGCCACAAAGTCTGCCCGCCGCTTCTTGAGGAAAAACGAACGTTCCATCTTCAGCCATCCCCCTAAAGGCCACAAACAAGGGCAAGATGGACAGAGGCTTAGGGGCTGATCATCCCTATCAAACACAGAGAAGCCCCAAATGGCCCTGGGCAGCAGCTCCGTTCCATTTACCTGGTGCTGAGTGCATACAGCGCCCCCTGTTGTTCACAATGACCTCCTCTGCAGCCTCCACCCTCTCCCATGCCTCCTGCAGTGTAAGACACCCAGGTTCCCACCGTGAGTGCCCTCCCTGGCTCTAAACTGCAGAGGAAGCCCATGCAGATGGTGAGTGTGGGAGTGGGCACCCCTCTGTTTCTCCATCAGTAAAGGAAAAAAAATCTCTCCCTGATCTAGTCCTGCACAGATCTTGTAGAAAATAACTAACCATGCAAGAGAGCCCTGTGGAGATGAATAATTTGATCCTACAAGCAGCCTTGAGGGAGAGGGGTGCTCAAACTTGGAAAAGGCTTGGCCAGCTGGGCAGTGGCCCTGGGAACATGGACAGGATGGAGGGACGTGACGTGGGGGTCAATCCAAAGGGAAGCGAGCAGCTAGCATTTCCATGGGGGGCCCTGCAGACACAGGGTAGAGACAGCCCCAAGCTCACCCTGTTCCATGTCAAACATATCCATCGTCCGCAGGAACTTGGGCTGCCGGTAGAGGCGGCCCTGCCGCAGGCCTCCCAAGCTGTACAAGTGGTTGTCCAGGGTCACAAAGCTGGAGAAAGCGCGCTTGCAAGGAATGCTGGGAAACTTGGTCCAGGACCGAGTTTCAATGTCAAAGACCTCGAAGGCATTGACTGCATACTTGGACTGGCGTCCCCCTGGAGGCCAGAGCAGGGTGGAGGTGAGTGGAAGAGGATCCCTGAGTACAGGGGCTGGATTTCCCCTTCTTCTGTTTCCCACTCACGCAGGAAACTCCCCGAGGGCCAGGCCAGTGTGATCATCCCCCATGCCAGGGAGAGGCTCAGCCCAAAGGCACTGCTTCTGGGGGGGAGCGCCCCAAGGAGGGAGGAGGGAGATGTTCAGCAGGTGACTCCTCCTTACCCAGCACGTAGATCTTGGAGCCTCGGAGGAAGGAGGTGGCAGCGTATCTTGGGGTTGGCATGGGCGCTAGTGATACCCACATGTCCTTGAGCATGTCATAATGTTGGAGGTGGTTGTGTGGCCGGAGGTCCAGGCCCATCCCGCCTGCCGCGTAAACTCGGTAATCTAAGGGAAAGGCCACATGTACTCCCAGCTCAGCTACAGGCACCAGAACGGACCACCAGCACCCGTCACCTGCTACAGCCAAGCCAAGGTTGATGGAACCATTCCAAGTCCTTGCGGTACCACCTGAGTCTTCCTGCAGATTTCCTTGGAATCCAGCCCTTAGCTTAGCCCAAAACACTAAGCCCTGCACAGAGGGAGAATGGTCCAGTCTAGGTCTGGACAACCCTCTGTGGCCTTGTCCCCTCCATCCTCTCCTTCCTGGGCAGCAGAAGTAACCTTCTGATGGTTCTCTCCAGTGCTGGGGACATTCCCAGGTGGAATTCTCGAGAAACAGCAGGAGTCTTTAGACACAAGGCCAGCCCCACTTCCCTGGCTTTGTGGGACACGGGGCTACCTCTGGTTCTCTTTTTCTATCTCCCTCATGGAGATGCCATCTTCCTGCACAGATCAGGAGGTTTTTGGATCTGGGCGGCACCCACCCTGAATGAGGGGAGGCTCCGGAAGAGAGACCTGGCCCCTTTTAGAAATCCTGCCCTTCACTTCCTCCACTGCTGGTGGCTGTAGGCCTTTCCGGGACCTCCATGACACACTGCATGACAGAGGACACACAAGCACCCTGCTACCACGCCCCTGCCTTCCACAGGCCCCTCTCAGGGAGCCGCCTCTGGCTGAATACTACTCCTTTTACTGTCCAATCTTACCGAAAATAAATAAAAAGCCAGCCCTAGCCTTAGGCTGGGAAATGGGGCCCCATGAATGACTCACCTAACACAAGCTCCCCGGCCAGCTGTTACCTGCGACACCTGGTCCTGGGGCTTTTCTCACACTCCAATACCACCGTACCTCTCTGCTCAATTCCCACTCGTCCTGTCAGGCTCACCTGGGCGTCTCTGAACTGCAAGGCTGGCTCAGTCTATCAGCTTTGTGTTACTGCAACCATCTCTGTCTGTTTCTCTCACTAGACTCTAGGTCTTTGAGAATTTATTAATCCGTAGTTCCACAGCACCCAGGCACATGAATGTTTTAAATTAACCACTGAACCTGTTCAATGCCACAGTTAGGAGCACAGATGTGACTGTCACTTACTAGCTGTGTGACCTTGGGCCAGTGACTTGACCTTCTTGGATTATAGTTGCTTCAGTCTACAATGAGGGTTCAAATAGCACTTGCCTCATTGGTCAGGCTGAAAGGAGCAAAGGGCACAGACTCAGTAACCTTTCAGGACTGTTCACTGAGGCCTGCAATGGAGGGAACTCTTCCCTTTCTGTTCCCCATGGACCTCCTGGCCTTCCCACCTTCTTACTGGGGGGTCATGGAAACCCCCACAGGCTGCCTTATCCCAGGAGACTCTGGGACAAAGCTTCTCCTAGTCACCTTCATTGATCAGACCCTGGCTTCTTCTGAAGGCAGGGCCTGATCTGCTTCTCTTCCTCCTTCCTGGGGCCCAGGACTGCTAGGGTGGGACAGTTGCTAAAGACATAGTGGTTTCTGATGTACCACAGGGCTGACCGGCAGCTGGTGGAGCAGGAGGAATGGAAGGTAAGGATGGGGATAAGAGGGGGTGCAGCCACAGTCTATGCAGCCTGTGTGAAGTTGGGGTGGGGTCTCCTAACTCCTGTGGACCACTTCCTATGAAACCGTTGCATTTGCAAAAGAGCTTCTGGACGCCCTTCTATGTGCTGGGCTGTACTAGACCCCCCCCCCCCGCCGAGTGAAATGAGCCCATCAGTCTGGATGGCTGAGGCAGGAGGATCACAAGTTTTAGCCAAGCCTGAGCAATTTAGTGACCTACCAAGACCCTGTTTCAAAAAAATTCTAAAAGGCCTGCAGATGTAGCTCAGTGCAAAGGCCCTGGGTTCAATCCCAGTATTAAAGAAAAAATGAGTGAAAGGAGGGGCTTTGAGAAAGTGGAATGAGAATCTCAGAAACGCACAGTTAGGACGCAATGCCTGCCCCAGAACTTAGGGAGCCTGAACGAGGCGCTGCAGAAACACAACCCTGGGGACGTCCTGGTCACTTGGAGTCTCTGAGGCTGGGAGGGGAGGAGGACAGATGAGGAGAGAAGGGCCTGAAGTCAGGCCTCCAGCCTGCCCCACAGGGCCTGGTGAGGGTGTGGGGGTGTAGTGAGCACCGCAGGATGCCAGCTGGTGTTTGGGGGTGATGCCAGCTGCACGCAGATTTCAAAGCTGGGTCACTCGGTCAAAGCTGGGGTCTGCAGATACACGGCACCCAACCCTGAAGCCCACACCCTGGCAGTGCCCTCTGGCAGTGCCCTGCCCAGCCTGTGGGAAGGAAACCCCTAGAGAGGACTTCTGGAGAGGACAATCCCTAGCTACTTCATTTGCTGAGCCTCAGTTTCCCCATCTGTAAAATAAAGTTTCTAGGATCAGATGGGGTCAGTATGTGATTCCAACAGGACTGCTACTTTTTCCTCATCCCTCTACTCCCTTTTCTCCGCCCACCCGCAGCCCTGGCCCCTCTTGCCTTTGGCCGTGACAGAGATGCCCATGGCGGCCTCACGCAGTGTGCTCCTCTTCTTCCACTTGCCCTCGTCGATACTGTACATCTCCACGACCTTCAGGGGCAGCTGATTGGTGCCCACGCCCCCGATCACCATAATCCGCTTGCCCAGGGCGGTGACGGCCACCCCGGCCCGGGCTGTGGGCAGGGGGGGCAGGGCCGTCCACCGGTCGGCCTCGGGGGCGTAGACCTCGAAGCAGTCCATGGGGACGCCGTTGTCATCGCATCCCCCGATTGCATAGACCCGTCCCCCGGTCTCCAGCAGGGAGCAGTAGACCCGGCGGCTAGGCAGCGGCGCCAGGCGCTTCCACTGGAAATCCTTGACATTGGGCACCTCCATGGCAGCCCGGCGCAGCCCAGGCCAAGTTCGAGGCCGGGGTCCGCGGGCTACTCCGCGCCGGCTCGCGGGTCCCCCGTCACCGCTTCCATCT